GTTTGAGATAACTTGCAATGAGCTTTCGTTCTTTGTTGTTTTAATTCAACTAGGTTTATTTGAACTACTTTTAAGTTCTAAAGCATGAATAATCGTATTTTATGCCAGGGTTTGTTTTAAGCCATCTCTAAAGATGTGCAGAACGCTGCTGCCCCGATTTTTAACAAACACATCCAGACGTGAACACATTACTCCTGTGCTGTCGTCACTCCACCGGCTTCCAGTCCGTTTAAGAATCGATTTTAAACTTCTGCTGTTTGTTTTTAACGCCATTCATGGCTTTGCCCCCTCTTACTTGTCTGAGATTTTAACTTTCTGCAATTGTGGCAGAGGTTTACGCTCCTCGGGTCAGCTTCTGCTAGAGGTCCCTAGGTCAAGACTTAAACAGTGGGGCGATCGTTCTTTTGCCGTCGCTGCTCCCAGACTATGGAACAAACTACCCCCTGACATCCGCACCACTACTGACCTCAGCCTTTTTTTAAAAAACTTTTTTTAAAACCCACTTTTTTAATTTAGCTTTTAATTCTGACTATAATACTGTCTCTTAGATGTCATCTTTCTGTGTGCTCCTTTCTATGCACCTCTGGAAGGCTTTTAATGTCCTGCAGCACTGCACCACTACAGCACTTTTTATTGTATCTTGTATGTTTTTATATGTGTTATGTATTGTTTTAATGGCTTTGTTGTAAAGCACTTTGGGTACCATTTGGCTATTGAAAGGGCTATACAAATAAATTTGATTTGATAAAGGTGTTTTAGAGAATTTGGCAGTACATCCTACCAGCCTCACAACTGCAGACCTCATGTAATCACACCAGCCCAGGACCTCCACATCCAGCATGTTCACCTACAAGATTGTCTGAGACCAGCTACTTGGACAGCTGCTAAAACAATTGGTTTACATAACCGAAGAATTTTTGCACAAGCTGTCAGAAAACATCTCAGGGAAGCTCATCTGCATGCTCGTCACCCTCATTGTGGTCACCAATTTTCTCCAGTTTGTTGTCATAACCAACAGACATATCACCCAATGAGCGCGTTTGGATGCTCTGGATTGGTGTATACGACGGTTTTTACCAGTTCCTCCCAAAACCCAGTAACTTCGCACAGCCATTGAAGAGGAGTGGACCAACACTTCCACAGGCTACAATTGACAACATGATCAACTATTCAACCTACCGTCTATGCCTCTTTCCGATATCCTTTAGCCTTCTTCATGTGTAGGTTATGTTCAAATTTTTTCTGATTTATTAAGCCAGAGAGCCAGCAGGCCTTTCTAAAATATAGTGAAAATATAGACAAATTGAATTTACAATTTAAGCAAGTTCAACAATATTTTCACACAGTGTCATAATGTTTTAGATTGGTTCTTTTTCTTTTGTTAATTAAGTATTCATTTAAAACACTAACTGCTCTATTTACTCAGGTTATAACAAAACAGCAAACATGCACAGAAATAGTCTATAATGGATACATTTCTACAATGCTGTACTTTCTGAAGCTGTTCACAATAACCACAGGGATGAATTGATGAATGTAGGATGGGTCAGTGGTGGAGGTGCTTACATCCTTTTTTCCAATTTGAGCAAACAAGTTTTACAAGATCATATTGTATTATTATTACTAGAATTTTAATATGTCAGTACTCCATATCTAAAAGTTTGAAGTTGTTCTCTTTATATTTAGATAGTTTTACTTCATTAAATGCAGCTTTATGAAAAAACTTAACTCTATGGGGCGCTAAATTGTCATTACTATGTTTGTGTGTATGTGCAGTAAAGCGACACATATGTGCTGAAAAAATATTTGGTTGTGTGATGTTTTAATTTTGTATAGGATTTTGTCTAAATAATAATCTTTGTCAACTGATTATCATGTTTATGGTAAAACATTTTAGATCCGTTTGTTTGTGTCTCTGAAATATATGAGATTTTAACTCTGAACCCAAAAGGTCCTGTGTAAGTTTAGTAAAAATTAGGAATGTGTACCGTTCATATTTGAACCTTTATGATATCAGGGAATCTTAACTACAATGCCAGTATCATCTTAAACAACACACTATTTTACTTCATGCAGACTGAGAGGATGTGGTTTCCTAACTCGTCATTGTCGCAAATGTTTCAAACTTTTTTCTACCATGTTGCTGGATGCTGACCTCAGGTCGCTAACAGATACGATCGTGCTAACCTTGCTGTATACAGGAGTTTCTGCTGCAAATCTGAAGTTGTAGAAATTTGTGCTCTCCTCAGCCTTGAACATATTCTTTGCTAAACAGGTGCTTCCTCAGATTAGAAGTACTTCTATCACTTGCCTTGCACTTTGCATCACATATATATTGCAGCGAGTGTATTTTGCAGCACATTATAAAAGGGAAACCATAGAAGAGGCGTGCATTTTCTATTAGCCATGCTGGCTTTGCTTACTGTAGCAGCAGCTGCTGATATCATCATGCCCTAGTGCATGCAATGCTGTGTTCATGTCTCACATGGAATATTGCCCACTCCTTACTCCGTCTGTGTCACACTAATGCGTATATGTAAAAAAACATGGTACCTTTGATTTTAAGTTAATAGGTACTTAAGTATAATTCTGCTAGTACTACAGTAATTCATACAGTACCAATAAAGGTGCTAAAGTCAGGACCTATCCCTAGCCAAAACCAAGATATTAAAAGTAAGGTTAGTTTGCCATCTGATCAACCCTATCCACTCACACTTAGACATAAGTCTCAATTTCTGATTGTTTCAATGTCTTTTCAGCCATCATTTCCTCTTAAACTTTTAAACTTTTTGTCAATTCAATTCAGTTCATTTGTATAGCGCCAATTCACAACACATGTCATCTCCTGGCACTTTACAGTTCACCAGATCATACAGTCAAACTGATTCATAGTTTTCTATCAAAGGAAAACCAGTTGATTGCAGCAACTCATTGACTCGAATGCAATCCCTTAAAACATCTGAACATTTCCTTATAAAACAAATGTTGATATTTTTCCTATAGAGCACATTGTAATTCATTTTTGATAAATACTGTTAAAATCTCAAAGTTATACTCTCCTATTGCAATTATTAGGTCTTTAAATAGCATTGAGCTATGAATTAGGGTAGGTGTTATTTCAAGATGACAGTTGGTTAAAAAGAGGCCTGGCATATGATATTGTTATCAAATACTTTGAAGTTAATAATAGTATCAAACTAAGATCCTTAAAGATTTTATAGAGCATATCATTAGCAGAAATACAAATCAATGAGAAACTGTTCCAAAAATTATTAAATAATGTGTCTTGTCTATCCCATGGTTAATTCATATGAAACATATTCAATTTATTTAATTAAATCCACAACACGTCATCTTACTGCACTTTACAGAGACAATACAGTCAGACTGGTTAAATGTTTTTGTCAAGAAAAACCAGTTAATTGCATCCATTAATTGACATGCAAAACATGCTCCTCCTGGATGAGCTTGTGGGGATGATTTCCACTAGCTGTTTTTCCTTGACTCAGCAATCCCTCATCCCGAGCATGCATGTTGGCACAGTGGAGAGGAAAAACTCCCTTTTGAAAGGAAGAAATCCCAGCAGAACCAGGCTCTGTGTTAGCTTTCAACTGGGGTTCCAGGAGACAGAACTAGACATACAAGAAAAAGCAAATATAACATGGTTGATATGTTTTGAGTTTTTAGTTATTAATAATATGACTCATAAGTTTGAATTGATGAACTTACATTAACTTTTATGTTTCAATGCATGTAATTGCCTGAAATGAATAAATAAACATTAGATAAATATTATTAATAACAGACTTTATCATGAACTTTACAATGTATTGTTACTGTGTCGTACCAAACAAGTGGTTGGTCAGAGAGGAAGGGAATGTAACAAGTGTCAATCAATTCCTTTTTTAAATACTTCCTATATGTCAATGGTGTTTAAAACCATCAAAGATGCATGGTTTTTTAACCTATAGAAGTAACTTAAGCATGCATTCAGTGATAGAGCACAATCTTGTGCAATGTGTAATTGATTTTGCAGCGTTAATTTTTACAGAACATGCATGTAACAATAGTGAAAAGAAAAACCTTCCTTCAAAAGGAAGAAATGTCTTGCAGAACCGGCCTAAATGTTAATGACCCACTGCTATCACTAACTGCAGGTTTGAGCACACAGACTAAACACAAAAGATGCACAGAAACACTGGTCCAGAAGAACTTTTTATTTGAGAGGAAACTATAAGGGTGTTTGCAATAGTACCTCCTAAAGTGGCTCTAACAAGGAAAAAAACACAGCTAACCAGATAGTCGAGGTCTAGAAGATAAACAAGCGCAAATACAATTATTCACAGTAAAAGCTCCAGCAACAGCTATGTCTAGGAGAGAGACAGAGTAACTGACTGTAAAACAGAATCAAGTATATCTATAGCAGAACATGAGGTCAAAAACATCAGCAGCTCATCCAAAATTTCCCTACATGAAGCTGTCGCAGCTCAGCAGAACAGCAGGCAAGATGTGCTATGGAGGAAAAAAAAAATTAATAAAAAAAACAAGGTCACTAAATTTAAGGTGAAGTCATGTTTACCAAATAGTGATCAAGGATAAAGAGAGAATGAGAGAGAGAAATATAGATTCGGGGTAGGTAACGATTATAGAGTGAACTACTACTGTACTGAAAATTTTATGAAGACAGATTTAAATTGTGCGTTTAAAGTTTAAGCTCAATTTATCTGGTCTTAAAATATAGCTTGTTTTTTCACTGCTTCTCTTGTTGTCTGCTCTGCAATCCATGGTCCTAAAATTAAAAAAACATGTATGTAACAAAATCTTAAAAAAATTGTAATCTAGAAAAACACAAAGTTGTTTATTCCCTTTATTCTGAGATGTAGCAGGTACTGTAAGCAAGAGTCATAACTTTAAGACTTTGATTTTACTTTTCAGATGATAATTCTTTTCCTATCTTTCTCACCCTTCTGCTCCTACTTCTCTGCTTGTTTCACTCATAGGTACATGATGAATGTGACATGGGATGGCAGAGACTTGTCGTTCACAGAGGATGGCTACCAGGAAAACCCAAAGCTTGTTGTTATCGTTCTCAATAAAGAAAGAGAATGGGAAAAGGTAAGGCCAATAAGCATCTAAACTGGTTCAGTTTATGTGTTTGTATCACCAAATTGTATGAAAAACATAATTTTTAAATTATTGCTAATATCATTAAGTTTCATATAATTAATTTTAGAAATAAATTATATTAAGATATTTGTTAATTTTACCTGTGCCACAAAGAAAGATTTCCTGATGGACGTCATATGATGTATCATTCATCAAAAAAATTTGGAGTGATAAAACTAAGATATATTTGTTACAATATAAATTTAAAGAGAACTATTAAAATTTTCCAATCAAAACAAAAGCAAAATTATCACAATGAATTACATTCATGTTTGTATTTAAAAAGCAAGGCTACGGTTCAGTGTACGTAGATATTACTTGGTCGTTGAATTTCAATAGTATAACATTTTCAGGGGAAAGGAGAAAATGTGTCTAGAAAAGACTGGGTTTAAGCATCACAGTCTGCATTCATTCATTTCATAAGGTGACTAGCAAAGTCAGACTTCTTTGAGTCAGGAGGTGTATATACATACAGCCAATAATTATATTATTCTCAATAAATGCTGCCTCTCCAGAAAATGCAATTAATTGTTAAAGGTCAGATCTTTTTTTTTTTTTTTTAACTGTTATTCAAAGGAAAATACCCCCCTGTGTATTTTTTCTACATACATATTATTATAATTGTTTAAAGTATAATACTCTAAGGTATCTTTGTGTAGCCACTATTCTGAAATGCCTATAACCAAAAAGAAAACTTAAGGTCTTAAATAGCGCAAGTTGATTTATTTTCTTATTGGTACTATGGAAATTTATGTGCAATGCTCATCAATTTGTGACAGGAAATAAGTTAAATGGATGCTCTAAAGCACTATTTAATACTTAATTTGGTTAACCAAAACAATTCTCCAAAGGGAAATGTTTACCCACTTTTAAGTTACCCTGCATAGCTTTTGACCCAAATATTACCTTAATTTGAGATGTATTAAATTATTTTTTTAGGTCAATATACAGCCAACATGTGATAATTCCCTTTAAAGTCTTCACCTCTCAAAAACTAATTTATGTATCTAATCCAATGATGAATGGGTCATGTGATCTAGAGGGCTGATTTACAACAGTCTGTCCTGCCCCTGAACGAAAGAGCTAACTAGGCTAAGAGTTGTTGACACTTACTTGATCAGATATATGTTGAATTCTCTGATGTAGGATTTAATCTAGAGACGTGAATATGTAATTGTCCCTACAAGTAACCCGATGGCGTATCATTACTGGTACGAAGTGGTCTGCTATCAGATTCCAACACATAGAAGGAGATTTTTTATTTATTTATGTATTTATTTTTCGAAAGGGGTACTTTCAGGGTTTCTAGTTTTAACCTAGTGCCCCTAGTGGCTAAAATTTAAGAAGATCACAACTTCTTGTCATCAACACAGTGCTGTCTGAATCTATGTCTACTTTCTCATAAATTTTGCAACATTCTTTAAAATTGGACATAATTTTTTCTTTTAATCCTAAAATTTTTATATTTTGTGATTTATACAAAAATCAATGCATTGAATCATCAGAAAGATCTACATATTGACTATGAGACATGCCGTTTTTGGTTTTACACTCTCAGAAGTCATCATACAGGAAAATGTGTGTATGGCCAATCCAGGAAGTATAAATAAACTTTATATTTGAAACTTTATCTGTGAATATATACTTGATTAGTTACTTTTCTTTAAAAAATGAACTATGGATTTCTTTTGAGGACCAGCATGGGAAAGGTGCTTTGATAAATGGCCATTGTAAATTCTATTTTAGATGCTGTAATGGACTTCAAATGGCAGTCATGCATCTTTATACCTGCATTGGGCTTCCTCACACTTCCCTAAATATCCTACATTTATTGTCTCAATAATTCATGCCATGGCATAAGTGAAGGGACAGTTTTTAGAGTAGTATAGTAAAGGAAGTGTGGATATGGAAAAGAGTCCAATAGGAATGGAAGGAGTGATTGTAAACTAGTTTGAACCTGTTTTGTTTTCATTCTGTGTAAGATTCTCTAGGTTTTAGCCATAATTTCTATTTTCCCAACAAATAGTTGAGTTTTATTATTTTTTTCTATAGTGCCCTCTTTTCTACATCCCTCCTCCATTGTTCTCCTTCTCCCTGTCCTCCTTCCCATTTGTCTGTAAGCCCAATAATCTGTGTACTCAGATGCTGGTCTCTCCTATAGCCCCTCAGAGGAGAGTTAATCAAAACCTGAGGGGTCTGTTATCAGGCTGGCAAAGGGTCACCACTCTCTTTGTACTGTTTGCACAGGTGTGTTTTTTCTTTAGCACTGGCAATCAACAGAATCAAAACTGGATATTAATAAGACTTGTGTAGCAATGATTTTGGTTAGATTTAGGTCATATCATTTTGTTTGTGCTTTATTTGAAAGAACTCTTAGTGTTCAACAATGTTTTGGAGCAGCTTTTTCATGATTCATCCAGACACTCAAAACCCTTTGTTAGTGATTCGACAAGTAGTGTGTTGTAAACAGAGGGTCTGTGAAATTGATCAGTGCCACCTCCCTTTGGTGCAGACGATTACTCTGAAACCCAAAGTGGATGCATAATTAGGAATGTTTTTGTCTCCACCCAGTGCTGCTGTCCCACTCATGCACATAAAATCAGTGGAAAAAAATTACTTAAATAGTGATCAAGAAGAGATTAGTTCTGTATATGCACTGAAATTTTAATATAAAAATTTTTAAATAGGAATATGCTTCCTTTGGGATGTGAAATGCATGGGGGTAGAGGAGAGAAACTGTAATAAAAAGCTTGGTTAAGGTAGTAAGTGGAAATTAAAGAGAATGGCTCAGATAATGGAAAAGAAAAATAAGAGAAACAAGAAATGAGGGAAAACAAAAACAGAGGGATGGTAGCTAAACGGATGTGCAAGAATTGTCTTCATTTAAACCCCTGTGTTTAGCACTCACATGTTTAAATATTCTGCCTCTGCTTCTCCCTGCAACATGCTGAAACTATGTTTGCTAAATGAGGTTATTCATGAGTTAGGGGACATCTAATATAACCTCCAAAAATTAAGAGACATGAAAGCTGCTCCTCCTCTTGCTTTATTAGGTACACTTTGCTATAAACATGTTAAACCTCCATTTAACATTTCAGATAGTGTATAATTTTGTTACATTATGTATTTCCTGTTTTATGTAACTATAGAAGACTAAAAAGTCATTATCATAAAGTGATAGACATGAGCAGCAACCTTACTTAGGAATAATATGGATAGATTGTGACATTTAAATTATGCTCAGTTATGTTTGTTTTTAGTTTTGTTGACTCACATGCAGAACGACATGGAGAATCCGTAAATTTAACATTTTATTTACAAAAGCAACATTAATCTGGAAGCAGAGAACTGCTGGAGGTCAGTTGAAATTTCTTGTTGGTTTGCCAGATGAAGGGGGGGTAGCATGGATCTGTAGGGGTTTGATTCAGCGGACTTTGCAGACTGTACCCCAGAGGTCCAAGAGAATGTGAGTGAGATTCAAGTGCTTTGGTACTTGCAAGAGGCGTCATGCTGGAGAGCGGGCTGGCAGGTGATGAAGACTGAGAACTTCTGCACACAAGTAAGACCTTATCCATGAAGATCGGAGATGAACTAAGGTAAACTGTCTGGAACAATAACAGTCCACATTAAAATAGATTCACAAGGAGACAGATTTCAACAAGAAAGATATTCCTGGTCTTTGGCTGGAAAACAATCAGGGATAATCATCCAGCAAAGAGAGATGATCCTTCACCTCCTTATATACACACTAGTCATCTTGATTGAAAAATTTTCTCAGGTGTGCAATAAATAGATATATATGCCAACTTTTTGCACAAACACCGTCATCCTGATTCTTTGATACAAACCGGGGTGGATCCATACTTTTCTAACTTCTAGCTTAATGTAAAATAGAGAAAATACTCATCAGTTTGTAACACATCCGATTAAGCAGTAAGTGTTTCTTTTCTAATTTTTGGAAGTATGTGTGAATCATGCTCTCATATTTTTTTCTTAACTGATAAGAGAGACACCTTTAGTGGTATTTTTCTGTTGAAGCCCTTCTTCTTCGCAGTTTATCATAATGTCCATTGAGAGATGGTAGTCAGCATACTTTGGATTTGAGCTACATTTACTTCCCTTACGCATTGAGTTAACACACATATTATTCTCTGATATAAGGGTTAGGTTTAAAATAAGGTTAGTGTAGCATTTTCTTCCATAAAACAGCTGCTAACTGGCTACATTCCCTGTTTTCAGGTCATTTTTTTAAACCTCAGATGATCATGCAGAAAAAATACCAATATATATCAGCAGTTTCTTAAATAAAGACCGTCTTTGCCCCAACGACCATCCAATGTTCAAAGTCAAATTAACTGCTATTCTTCCTTTACTCCTTGATCATCTCAGCCCCACAACACTAGCCTCGTGAGACCATCCTGATCTCGCGAGCTTTCAAGGTTTCACTCGCAGATCAGTCTGGCTACTCTCCGTTAAAGAAAATTTGGAGCCGTTCACCAAAGGGACGTCCAATCAGCGTTGGCTCTGAGGCGGGTTGAGGTGTGACGCAACGAGAAGCGCGACAGTTCAGTCTAAAGAACATGGCGGCTTCAGCCGATGAAACTAGCGTTAGCGTGGCTATCGAGCAAGTTTTATCGGAATTACAGAGTATTTCTTCACTAAAAGAAGAGCAAAACACTGCTCTGGAGGCTTTTCTCAGAGGAAAAGATGTTTTTACTCTTCTCCCGACTAGTTTCGGCAAGAGTTTGATCTATCAATTGGCTCCTCTTCGTCGTCGCTCGGTTAGTACTTCATATGCTTCGTTGATCTGATTGGTTTATTTGGCCCGTCTATCACCAACATAGGCCAATCAGCTAACCAGTATTTTTGCCCCTTCCCAAAATTACTTCAACGGAAGGTTTCCAGATGGATATGCGGAGCAAATCCATTCGGCGGAGTCAGGTTACCAC